CTCAGACTCTTGGACTCTGACCACGAGTGACGTCCTAGTGAATGCTTGTCAGACACCTCATGTGTGCTAGTTTTTAGTGTGACAAAGAAACAACAGACAAGAACAAGGAAAGGAGGAGGAAAGAAGCAGCATTTGTTTCGCAGTGACTGTGGTGCACAAGTGGTTTCAGCATCCGCACTTTAATCAGTTCGTGCTATAACGTATATGTAATTAACAAAAAAACCATGACAACCAGAGACTGTCTATACCTTTATGTTTATATGCTCTGGATGGGTTAGAGGACAGTGTCTTATTGCCTATAGAACATCTTAACATACATTTTATTGCCGTTTCTTTTTTTAAACCCGATTTTTGTCCTTTCAGCATTTCCAACAACACTGCAGGTCCTCTTGTTAGGAATCAGTCTGCTCCAGTGAGTGAGAGACACGGTTGTTTAAAGGTTTTTGACTCTGTGTTTATTTTCTCGTAATTAAATCTGGACTTGTTCTCCTTAACATCCTGAATAGATGGAACATATTTAATAAAAACACACATTTTATCACCATATCATGACTTCAGAAGCATCACTTTGTGCCTCTGGACCATGTGGAGCCCACCAAAATGAAATTTTTTCTCTTCTCCCAGCTTTTTGGAATTTCATGTGTATCATGTTTTGCTACATGTGGCATTTTTTCAGTTGTTTAAAAATGTGTTGTAGAATTTCTATGTTTTGTTTTACGAGAAAAAAAAATCACTGATGATGTAGAAGTCTCAAAAACTCATGTATCAAATATGATGCACTTGGCTTTACAGGGTTAAAAAACGTCTTGTTAAAGAGAGGGATGATGCAAAACATTGGGAAACCTGTCCCTGTTTTTCACTCACCACAGGAAATCAGCTGCCTCTGCATCACCATGTGAATGCCATCCTCCTCTGTCACACCAACCCTCTGCATGACCTTTTGTCCTGTATATCCCCTATCCCTCCTCTCCACATGTTCAAACCATCTCAGTCTTGGCTCTCAAACTTTCTCTACAAATCGCTCATCCTGAGCTGTCTCCCTGATGCACTCTGGCAATTACAAAATACATGTTAATAAACTAGCTGGGATAGGCTCTAGCATCTTCTGTGACCCTGAAAAGGATAAGTCATTTTTACTTGATACTTAAAAACCACAGCGGGCTTAGACTGGTCTGTTTACATGGTCTATACACAGTTTGATATGAGCCATAAACTCCACATACAAACATGACTGCGGGACGAAATGCAGCGGGAGAAATCAAACATCGGGGGGAACCAATGAGGACGGAGCATAAAGGAGCAGGAAGTAAAAGACAATGAGACCATCAGTGCAGTGACTTACCTGCAGTTAACGTTTGAATGGTGTTTCCACAGTGTTTCTGAATTGTGTGGGACTACTTGAGAGGAAAAAACTGTGAAAAATAAAAATATGTGTCAGGTCACAGCATGTGCTGGGCTAATGTCAAATGTATTCAACAGATATATTAATGATTTAAACCTGTAAAATCTGGAGACAAAAACTCTCAGAATCATATTTTCAGTTGTTATTACTACAGTAGGTCAGTAGGTGTCTCTAGAGTCACCTTTCAATGCAACATCCAACACATGCAAAGAAGCAGACACACTCACCAAGGGTTTTATCACCGTACCTGACGGTTTCCATGCAAAGACGTGACGTCCAACACATGCAGACACACAAAGACGCAGACACACTCATAAAGTGAGTCAAGTTTGTTTCCCTAGCACATTTAAAGTACAGCTGTTGAACAATATGCTGTACATCTAAAATAATTAAATAACAGCCAACACAGGATGAAATTTTGAGTTTAAGAAAGGAAACATAAAATTAGAAAACCTGAGTAAAAACAGGACAAATAATTGTCATCTACACAATAATGAACTGAGATGCTCTTTTATTAAAAACTAAGCCAAAAGAGAACATAAATTGAAAAAAAACCCGAACTGGCTCAAGGAAAAATATCAGTTGCTAACAGGTCTAGACCACATGAAGATACTTTCAGGGAAGAAGAAATAAAAATTAAAACATGTCTAGTGGTCAGCGGAGAAATCTACAAAATCTGTCTGTCAGAGTCTTATCAAAGCTAAACAAAGAAAAAGGAAAGGCTTGTTTATGAGCTGGTATATGTTGCTTTAATAGCATTGCTGAAGGTTTATGCCAAAGGATGGTCACACACAAGCATCACTTTATGCCTTTGGACGTTTCAGAGCTCCAGATTTCTTCACACTCTCTGTTCACCACCAGTTTGCCGTCATCAGTCAGTTGAAGACGGCACAGGTTGGCGACAGGTCTGACAGAGTTTGTGTACCACCTAGGCGTGTCACACTTGTTGTACATGACCAGATTGCAGTCAGCCTGCATGCACAGACGGACAGCATCTGATCCATCGGTGTCCGAAGCCCACAAAGGCTTCCAGCCATAGATGACAAAGTTACCATCATCCTGCAGCCATAAATTATATGTTAGATAACTGTCAATACGCATGACTGGGAAACAAGGCTTTTATGAGCTTCTGAACTGAGAAAATTTAGTCACCTGAAATATAGCTTTGTACTGCTTGTTGTTGGACACCAGGTAGTCTCCCCTGCGGAGCTCCTCATTTTTGGACAAGAAGTTTCTGCTCATTATCCTAAAAGGAGAGAATATAAATGAGCTTGTATCCACAATATGCATTTAAAAGTATCAGGAATGTGTGAATCCATCAGTCAGTAGAGATACGTAGAATACTTACAGTTTTGAATATTTCACACCAGCCGGTCTGCAAGCAGAAGAGAAGGGAAGTGTTCAAATTGAAAGCACATCACTCCATCTTTATATCATTTTGACCAGGGGTGGAGTGACAGTCACTGTCCTTTACAGTAAAGGGATGGCATTTCCTAAGAAGTGTGTGTGTGTGTGTGTGTGTGTGAGGAGGGGGGGATTAGTGGAGCAGTAATGGAGTGGAGCAATCGCAATTGCTGACGTGTTGTACAGGGGAGCTTGCTGCGGTGTTCTCCAGCTGTCCTTTGGTTGGGGTGAGGGAGGGGGGGATCAGGGGCTTTATTTTATGTGTTGTTGGAGTGTCTCGTTTTTCAACCCACAGAACTCATATTGGGTGTTATTCCATGTTCTGTTCTGGGCTTCTCTCATGCTTTTCTATTTTTGCATCCCTTCATTATCTTTCCATAATCTTACATGATTAGTCCCATAAATCTGCTCAGCTGGAACGTTAAACCATCCTATTAAGAGAGGAAAGGTTTTTGCTCAAATTAACCCTCTCAGGCTCAAATTACGTTTTAGTTGCTAATGCACAACCAAGTCCTGCAGTAGTACTTCTGAGTAAAAAAACTCATAAAATATGTATGTGGGGTAATCAGGTTGTTAGTTTTTAACTGTTGCAAATCGGCAACGCCTGTCTTGAGAGGGTTAAGCAAGAAAATGCCTCCATTGCCTTTTTACAAGAAACCCATGTCAGAGGTTAACTCAGGGCTTATGTCTCGCTGGGTGGGGCAGCAGTTTCATTCATGTTTCGAGGCCAAGGCCAGAGGAGTATCGATTCTCATCAGCCCCAAGGTTCCATTCAAATATAATGTTATTTCAGATCGACATGGTCGTTTTGTCATTGTTTCAGGGAGGTTGTATAAAGTACAGGTAGTTTTGGTCAATGCATATCCTCCTAACACAGATGACCCCAAGTTTTCAAACATTTTTTTTCGAATTTACCAGACGTAGGCTCGTACTCTTTGATACTTGGCGGAGACTTAAACTGCTGGCTTGACCCTGTTTTGGATCGATCCTCATTAAAACCGGCCTGTCTGAGTAAGTCATCCTCGCGTAGTCAATCCGCTTTTTCTACATATGGCGTTAGAGATATTTGGCGACATCTTCTTCCGACTGACAGGGAGTATTCTTTTTTCTCTAACGTCCATCACACTTTTTCTAGGATAGGCTACTTTTTCTTAGATAAATATTTGACTAGCATCGCAAGTGCCTGTGTATTTTAACCTCACACTACTAACAGATAATTTGGTTATTCATAAATTCCAGAAAGCTATAAATTTTTTTTAGACAAACCTTTCCCTGAACATTTCTAGCCTTTTAGTTTGGGACTCAATGAAGGCCTATCTCCAAGGACAGTTCATTTCACATACAGCTATACACCCTAACTGTTAAGGACATTTTGGTGATAAAGACACAAGTTTTCCATCCGATGGTGAGCAGCTACAAAAATAAAAGGTCAGTGGTAGCCAAGAAGTGCAAAACTCAAGAATAGCAAATGCAGGGGGATGCAAAAGTTTGGGCAACCTTGTTAATAGTCATTATTTTTCTGTATAAATCGTTGGTTGTTACAATTAAAAAAAAAAAAGTCAGTTAAATATATCATATAGGAGACACACAGTGATATTTAAGAAGTGAAATTAAGCTTATTGGATTTACAGAAAGTGTGCAATAATTGTTTAAATAAAATCAGGCAGGTGCATAAATTTGGGAACCACAAAAAAAAAATGAAATCAATATTTAGTAGGTCCGCCTTTTTCAGAAATTACAGCCTCTAAACGCTTCCTGTAGGTCCCAATGAGAGTCTGGATTGTGGTTGAAGGTATTTTGGACCATTCCTCTTTACAAAACATCTCTAGTTCATTCAGGTTGATGGCTTCCGAGCATGGACCGCTCTCTTTAACTCGCACCACAGATTTTCAATAATATTCAGGTCTGGGCTGAGATGGCCGTTCCAGAACGTTGTGTTCCTCTGCATGAATGCCTTAGTGGATTTTGAGCAGGGTTTCGGGTCGTTGTCTTGTTGAAAGATCCAGCCCCGGTGCAGCTTCAGCTTTGTCACCGATTCCTGGACATTGGTCTCCAAAATCTGCTGATACTGAGTGGAATCTGTTAAGGCTCTGTGTGCGGGTAGGTGGAGATGTGGGTCCAGGTGCAAGACTCAAACACGGAATTGTAGCTCAAAACCTCAGCTTTATTGCTGGAGAAACAGAAACTAAACTAAACTGAGGATACAGAAATAAACTAAGCAAGCAGACAGAACACACAGAAACCGTGAGGGTGAACAGCCGTTAACGACGCAACACCGACGCAAAGACACACAGGGCTTAAATACACTGAGGGAGTAATCAAGGAATTAGAGACAGAAGGGAAACACAGCTGGGAGGAATAAGACCTAACGAGACGGGGAGCGCAAAGCTGGAACACTGACATCAGACAGGAACATGAACCTTCAAAGTAAAACAGGAAACAAAACACACTTAACTAAGACCCGGTCTAGACAGAGAGAGGCAGACTTGACGC